TTTTTTTTTTCACTTTTCTGTGTTTCAGCAATAATGGGTCAAGTTATTCAAATAAAAACATTTTGACTTTGTCTTCTAGGCTTGTGAGAAGGTTGGCATGCAGATCCCTCGATTCTGTTATCATGAAAGGTTGTCTGTTGCTGGAAACTGTAGGATGTGCCTTGTTGAAATTGAGAAAGCTCCTAAGGTATCTAAAATTCCATACCTTGCTGTGTAAGGTAGAAAACTTTAAATCTTGTAGTGAATTTTATTTAGAATCAATATTGTTGTATTGGAGAACCTAGTTCTATTTACTTTTGTCTATAAATTTAATATTTTCTTGTGCTATTGATTCTCTTCATTTCAAAATTGTAAACACACTGATGGAAGTGCTTTATAAACAGACGTGCCATATAATTATATCCAATCTAGAAATTAAAGATGATTTTCATAGCTGTCAATATTTCCAAACGTCTGTATGACACATAACTAGGATATAGAATTGCCAAGCAGCACATTAGAAGTGTGTATGCTATTCCATTTTCACTAGAGAAAACGGTTGGAGTGAAGACGTTCACTTTCAGTAGTTTAATTGCATTTTGGCATATGCGTGCAATTTTAATTCAGAAGTGCCTGCCAGTGAAAGCACAGTTCTTCAATGTTCCGTTTCAGGGCAGATAAAAAACTGCATTGACTGTTAGTATAAACCTAAGGAGTAGGATGTCTTATTTGTTTCTAAGAGAAATGTAAAGTGCCAGATTTTCATATTATGAATATGAAAACTTTAAAAATTCAGTCTTAAAAAATATTCTGTTCTTTGCTCTTTTTCAGATGTATAATTTAATGTTTTTATATATTGGATTGCTTATTAAGAAATTTTTCCACTGAAAAATTTTCCATTGAAATTCCAGGTTGTAGCTGCTTGTGCCATGCCAGTAATGAAGGGTTGGAATATCCTGACAAACTCAGAAAAATCTAAGAAAGCCAGGTACTTTCTTAGCCTTTCTTAGAGCAGAAAATTGCACATTTCAGTGTTTAGACCTTCCTATAGATTAGTAATTCAGTATCAAACTGAAGAAGGTTGGTGTGTCTGGCTTCTTGGAGCAGTGGAAGTGAGTACACAGTAGAGGAAGTCAAAAGAAAGGGTTATGTTATCAAGACTAGAATGGGATCAGCATTAAAAACCCTGCTCAGCTGGTGATGAACAGTGAATCTGAGGCTTGCTGAGCTTAGGTTATTTCAGTATTTCAGTATTATTACAGATTATCACTATACTGTACTGGCACTGATTATATTTATTTGTTTTTGTTTTGAATTAATGTTAATATTTTCTGAGGACCATTTTGTAATTTTTGATAATTCTGTATTGTGAAAAGCTGTAATTTTCTAGATTCTCTAATGATATTTTATTCTAGACTTTTATAAGCATTTTCCAAATAGTGTGTTTAATACTACCAGAATGATAGTTACATTGTAATAATAAATGTAAAATTAATACTAACTATATAAGAAAGCATACATGTGTAAAGGTTATTTAAACAGTCTGTTGTTAAACCATTTTTCATATTACAATTTACCTTACAGAGAAGGTGTGATGGAGTTCTTATTAGCAAATCACCCACTGGACTGTCCTATTTGTGACCAGGGAGGTGAATGTGATCTGCAGGTATACAATCAAATCTCCTAAATCTTTTTGGTTGTTTCAAGGTTTAACTTCATTAAGCAGTATTAGATTGATACTTTTGTAATCTACATAAGGACCAGTCCATGATGTTTGGAAGTGATAGGAGCCGATTTTTAGAGGGGAAACGTGCTGTGGAGGACAAGAATATTGGACCATTGGTAAAGACCATCATGACTAGATGTATACAGTGTACTCGCTGCATCAGGTAATTTTTTTCCTTCTCTTTCCTGTATTATCATTGTATACTTATCTAGTATTAACAAAATTTGGTGGAATAACAACACTGGAAAGGAAGGCAATTTTTGTTTGGTGGAAGAAGAGGAATGTTGTTTTCAATGTTTTCTGCATATGCCAATAAAATGAATAAGTTGTTCACTTTTACTTTAGTTTGGATTTAAAAATTAAAATCTAGGGCCGGCCCGTTTGGGAGCGCGGTGGCGCTCCCGCCGAGGGTTCGAATCCCACATACAGACCGGTTCCCACTCACTGGCTGA